ATGTTGAGTTGTGTAAATTAAAATGGTTCTTGTACCATTTTATGCTAATGTTGTACTTCCCAGTTATCCATTTTGTAATAGTTGCGATTTTGTTTCTGTATTTACTATTTAAAATCCGGATTAGGGATGAACAAATGAAAATGCAGAACAGAATTTTGCGAGAGTAAAGAGGAAACAGGAATTCGTGAATGAAAAAATATGTCTTGCTTCAGTGTTAGGATGGATTTGTGTTTAAGAGGATAGTAGAATGTTTCTAATAGAGAAAGACAGTATCTTTTGCGAGGAGCAAAATGCCTCTTAAAACAAAATGTCACCTACTAGTCCTATATTTTGATGTGTGTCACAAAGCTCTCAAAACTGAACTTCGACGAACAAAGAACACCTTGATCCACTTTCGTGATTAGTATTACAGACTAGCATTTTAAGATAGCGATTTTCGGTTTTGCACAGTTGACTTACGCTTGACTTTTTTATAGCGTTTCTGAAATTACAAACACTAATATGTTAAGCGGCTAAAATAATTGGAATAGCGCTTATTATTTTAATCTACCATAGTCTGTAATAATATTTATCAACTTAAAACGTTATCGTATGATTTGACGAGATTTTTTTTTGTTATTACCCGCCCAAAATTGGGAATTTTGCTAAATTGACTCACATTAAAACTGGTTTTGTCCTAATAACTTTTGTCTTCTTTGTGCCAACTTTTTCCTACATTACTCTTTTAATATTGAAAATTACAAATAAATAGTTTTTATAATTTTATAAACTCAGAAAAATACAAAAGAGTAATGTACAAGGCATATAGATTCATGTTTATATTATTTTTTTTTTTAAAAACTATGACAGAAAATTATTTATTTTTCTTTCTACCATGGTCGAATCTACTAGTAGATTAGGTGTTCAGCAAATTTGTATAAATCTACAAGTGGTAGAAGAAAATATTCTACTAATTATTCAAGTTCTACATATCGCATATTGCACATTCCACCATTTTGCTTCAGTACTACCAATGACTTTGACTTCTACGATACGCAGAATACATATTCTACCTTTTTTATCTACCGATTTCTCTATCTTCTACCAAATGATATAAAGGATATTCTACCAAAATTAGTTTTAATCTCCGAAATCTAGGACCATTAAATTGTGAGTTATTTTCTTTCCACAAACGTAATATTCGGTAAATATTTCCTAAATCTATTATTCTCCTTCATGATTTTCTTCTTTTCATGAAAAACATTTTTGACGTTTTTTTCCAAACGTTTTTTGAAGTGTTTTTGGAAAAAAAAAAACACATTTTGCATTTTTTTCGTTTGATATGTGATATTTAGTTCGATATTTTTTTTAGTTTGATATATGATATTTAATTTGATATTTAGTTGGAAAAAAAAACACATTTTGCATTTTTTCGTTTGATATTTGATAATTAGTTTGATATTTTTTTAGTTTAGTATTTAGTTTTTAGTTTGATATTTTTTTGTATGTTAAGAAAGAAAACCGCAAAAAAAATAAATATTCTGTTTTTTTTTGAAATTCTGAAAATATTTTAAAAATTTCTTTTTTACTAATATTGAAGGTTAAAATTGGGTTATGAAAATATCAAAGGTTATTGGGATAAAAGAATATGTGTATAAAGGTTATTGAGACATTCCCAAATTCAAACTAGGTCAATTTAGCAAATTTCCCAATAAAAATTAGGCATAAAAGAAATTACAGCAAGTGAAAAAATTTGGGAAAAAATGTTTATGAAAATCCATTTTTTTTTTTGATAAAAAAAAAAAATTGAAACTAAACCTTTTGCTCTCCCTTTGTTCTTCTCTCACTCTCGATCTATTACAAAATTT